GCCATGTGATTGGCTGCTTAGAAATTAAGTGTTACCGAGCAGTTGGACAGGTGTACCTAATAAAGTGGCCGGTGAGTGTAAATACCACTATCAATCGATTGTGGAAATATCTTGGAAATAAATGACTTGAGTCTTGAATGACAGATAGAGGCTTTAAAAGTGTTGGAAAAAACTGCTTTCTACGCCTGCATGTTTGATCTGTGCCGTCCTCAGCCTGCTAAAGTTGGCTAGAATAGTATATACAGGGGGAAAAGCAGCGCAGTGTATAAAAGCTGCTAACGCTGTGTCCCACGCATCGAGTTGATAAAGGAGTTCCCCTCTAGATACTATGGAAACAATTTCACAATAACAATTGGGACATCAATGAGCATCAGCTTCAGAAAACTGTTAGATTTTATCAAAGCTTTGTCCAGATCTACTTGAAGACAGACTGTTGCAGAAGATTCTTCCTTCCTACAGCCATTAACCTCTTCAACAACTTCAAAAAATGAAATATGATAACATTTATATTTCCTTTAGGATCAATAAAATATTTCTGAAGTGAAGGTTACTAAAAGGTCCTAGAAGGCATGATTACTAGACCCCACTTTGATGCACTTGCTGCTGTTAAATTTTGATTTAGATCAAATATTATTTTACTGATTTTAGGATTTTGTTGAAAAATTGCTCTTTATTCATCTTTTTTAGGCAGGATTAAGTACAAATAGCCTCTATGCATATGGAGCCTATAGCCCTTTTATTGAATTTTAATTAAATCATTTTTAAATGGTCTGGCCCACAGTTATTAAACTAAGTAGCATGACCTTCAGACACTTTAGGGACCAACAGTACACGCAGCCTTATCCTATCAGTGCAGCAGAGATCAGAACTAAAACACAAAGGTAATTGGGCTTATTTTGCCTCCTGATATCTGTAGCCAAAAATTTGAAATTAACTTCCTTAAACTAGCTTTTTAAACTTTGCTTGGAGTCACATTTGTGTTTTTCTTTTCTGCTTTGTAACCTTCATTTAGTATTAGATTACACACATTTTTGCGCATCGTTTTTACTTATCTTTTATATTAATGCTTTTTATTGTTTGTTTTATTAGTCTCTTAATAGCACATGGGTCAAGATTACCGCTTTAAATCTGCTAAACACACAGATTACTGCTGGTTTTCAAAACTATTTTATTGTTGCTACGTAAATAACAAATGGATTAGAACTATTCTAAAGTAACTCATATTTGTAAAGATAAGTGATGTACAGATCCACAGAAATAAACCCAACGGCTTGGGCCAGTGGCATCGGATTTTGAAAAATTAAGAGTTTCATCTGCTTTTATATCTCTCTATAACTTTAAAAATGGTTTTAAAAATGTCTGGGTTCATATTTTGGATAAAGTTATATTTCTAACATGCATTTTCTGCTTTATATCTGACAGTTTTTACCATGTGATCACCTGCTTGCCAGTGTTTTATAAACCTGAAATACAAAGAGCTCCTTCAACAAAAGCAAAACTCTGCAATAACGTTTCCAAACCGCAGTAAATGTCTCTAGAAAGCTGGACTTAAACCCAAACCAGACATGCAGTTACATCTGAGGTTGGTTTAAACTCACGGTGGCTGCAGCTCGTCCGAAGCGGATCACGCTGAGGTCACTGAGGTCCAGCTGCCTGCTGTAGAGGTAGAAGCCTGAGGAGGCAAACACTGCTGTGGCCAGAGAGGAGACTTTGAGGAGCCGACCCGCCATTGGAGGTCTGCGGGAGGAGAAAGAAATCCGTATATAAAGACTAAAACACAGAAAACAACCAGTGCTCTTTGTTAAAGATACTACAGAATAGAAACGAATTAAATGACAAAAACGAAGGGCAGATATCACCTTTTTTTTAACTAAAGCAAACATCCTGACCCTGATTTTGGAATATGTAAAAGGCCTTGGAATATATACAAGAAATCTCATCACTTAAAATGTCCCTTGATAAAAATCACTTAAACATCTTAAACAAGGGCTGAGAAGTTTCCAGTATCGTCTCTTTCAACATGAGGAAGACGCAGCTAATCTAAATCAAAATTTTAATTCCAGATAAAAGAAGGAAAAACAAACAGGTCTGATATATACTCAGTTTACATTTAGGTTCCAACATTCTGTACGGAAAACAATGAGTTCCCAGCAGTAGGAGACAACGCAGCAACAGCTGATGTTTATTATCTATGTTTTGATGCACAGGCATCAGTAACAAACAAAAACATGATGATGTCAGGGTCTAAGCTAAACATTCTGTGGTAATATTGAATAAAAATCATAAAAATGTATTTTATATGAGCTTTATTAGGCCTTGTGTGTAGCTTTATTGAGGTTTACACCAAGATATTGCACTGGAAAAAAAATCTAAATCTATATAATTCATTTTCTTCTTAAAATAAGTGCATTTGTTCTTGAATTGAGAAGGTAAAAGAGGCATTTTGCCAATGGGACAAGAAAATTTACATTTAAAAAAAGAAAACACAATTGCATTGTCTTATTTCAAGTGCATTGTATCTAAATACTCATTCCATTGGCAAATCATCTCATTTACCTACTCACTCCTATTTACTCAGGTAAATACACTTAATTTGAGAATTTTTTACTTATTTCTAGATTGTTTTTCCAGTGTGTTGTGACCTTCAGCTCATCTGTGCTGTTGCATCTTTGGAATGATTTACTTCAACTATGCAGGATGAAGGCAACTTACCTCTGGTTCTGCTGATGCACAGTGAACCCTAGACTTTAATACTATTATTCAGGTCATAGATATTGCTCAATCTGGCCTCTCTCATTTTCCACTTGACGATAACTAAGGAACTCCAGTTCCAGTCCTTCTTAGGTCTTTATGAGGAATCTGGGACCTGGATTTGAAAATTGGCCATTTAACAACATTTATTAGTTTTTTTTTAACCACCTTACTCCAGGAGTGACCTCTCTGACTTTGTCTTTGCTTCCTACCTGGTAGCAGGGGTGTCAAAAGTACACACATTTGTTACTGCAGTTGAAAAAC